CACACACACACGCACGCACACACATGCACGCGCATGCACACACGTGTGCACACACACATGCACGCACGCACACACATATGCACACACATACACACACACATGCACACACGCATGAAGAGATGTGCTATAAGGAATTGCAACAATAACCAGATTGTGGGGGCCAGGCAGTGCGTCGTGAATGCGCGGCGGCCGCCGGGGCAGACAGGCTGAGCTGTGGTGGGTGTGGGGAGAAGCCGCAGTCCGCAGGGAGACTCCCTTCCCCCTCACAGCAGCCCGCTGCTCCCAGGCTCCTTCACCAAGTCCAGTCAGGCCCGCCAGACCCCGAGAGTGGCCTCCCACTCGTGAAGTCCGCCAGCATGACAGCGTGTGACGGCGTGTGCCCGTGTGTCTGCAGGATGTCTTTACGACAGCTTTCTGGGTTGCCTAAATGTGTTCATATTCTAGAGCACTGCTCTGGGCCTGCTGCAGCCCCCCAGGGCTCCTCTGTGCATAGTTTGGGGACTGAAGCACTAAGCATTTGTGCAAGCAGCGTGGAAAGACTTCAGAAGACTGTGATTTAAACAACAACAAGAACAAACACTTTCCAGATAAATGAGCCCTTCTGATCGTTGTCTACACTGTGTATGAAGCAGGTTTGTGATATTTAACTGGGGAGGAACGGCTGCTCATGTATAGAAATGTATTCTTTTGAAACCCAAGCACTCTCATGAATGTACCCATGCTCCTCACGGCCAGCGTCTCTTCAGCCTTTGCTTGCTGACCATCCTAACAGCACACGGCTTTCGGCTTTCTGTATTCTTCATTTTCTGTTATTTCTTTATGGTCTGCTCTTGGCAGTGCTGGTGAGAATTTAATGTCTTTGTGTCGGGAATGGCCTAGTTATTCTGACAAACTGATCAACCTCCAGGGTGCTCCTCCACCATGAAACTGATTTTATATCTCATGCACTGGCTAATAAGATGTCAAGCATTTTTCCTGTTGCCCGGGAAATCAGGCTTGCTTCTCTCAGAAGTCCCGGGGCGTTCTCAATGACTGAGCCTCACACAGCGGTTTCTCATGGAGCCCAGCCTTCCATACCACACAGCTTCTCACACACGGCACAGCTTCTCCATACAGCACAGCTTCTCCACATAGCACAGTCTGTCAAACACAGCACTTCTCAACACAGTACAGCTTCCCCACACAACACAGCTTCTCATAGAGCCCAGCTTTTCTTGGAGCATATAAGAAATGAGTGAAGGGCTGGGAAGGTGGCTCAGTGGTAAGAGCCCTTGCATGCCTGAGGCCCTGGGTTCGATTCCTCAGCACCACATAAGCAGAAAAAGCCAGAAGTGGCGCTGTGGCTCAAGTGGTAGAGCACTAACCTTGAGCTGAAGAGCTGAGGGACAGCGCCCAGGCCCAGAGCTAAGGCCCCACGACCGGACCCAAAAAAAAAAAAAAAAAGAAATGAGTGAAGATTAGCAGAGACATTTTAAGAGGAGAAAACCTTCACAGGAAATGCTAGGACCCAATTTACCATTCACTTTCCATTCGGAGAAAATAAACTATTAGAGACTAAAACCTGTTGTCCTGGTGATCTGGGTAGGGAAGTCCTGACATATACCGTCTCCCACTAACCTAAACTTTCAAATAAGTTGACATTCTACATTGGAGCTCAGTCTCTAAGAAGTAAGAATATAATATAGGTGAGATATCTCTTACTCCAAACCCAAAATGCTCTAAAATCTGAAGTCTTCTGAGTGTGCCCATGACACCAGAGCAGGGCTTCCACACATGACCTCACGTGAGAGGTCGAAGCCAAGGGTAGGCACACTGAGATTATTGTAAGAAGTCGCCCCATGTGCAGAAAATGTATATTGCAAGTGAATTCCGTGCTGGAACTTGGATCCATCCCCATGATATCCCATTAGGTGTAAACAAGTTTTCCATAATCTGAAAAAAATCAAAAATTCAAAATATATCTTGTTCCAAGCATTTCAAGTAAGGACTGTTCAACCTGAAGTCTGAAAGAGGTGGTTATAGCCCTTCTAGTGGTGTATTTCTGGAAAAGAGGCCATTGTACTATAAAATGATTGCCTTTTGTGGTTGTTATGTCTTAAGGGGTTATGTCTTGACAGTAAAGTAGTTTTTAGGTGAATGTTTGAAAGAAGATGGACATAGGGGAAGAAAGAAGTCTGTTCACGGGCTGAAGCTGTAAGGAAAAAGGGGTGGGGGGTGGGGGTTGTATTCTGGAATCTAGGAGGAAAAGCAAGAGTCTTTGACATAAAGTTGGTGTTATTTGTAAACTATTTGTTTTGCTTCAGTGTTTCAGTTAAATTAGTCTTTTTTTCTCTTATTTTAAGGCTCCCTTAATTGGGCAAAGGGGTTTTATGTTTCATTGTGATATTTCTATCGATGTGTACAATGTATTTGGAACAAATTCACCCCCTGCTACATGTGCTTAATCCCCCTCTTCTACCTCCCCCTTCAAAGAGCAATTTACCATG